TTCTGTCTGCATTCCCTGTGTTCCTTACGTTAATGATAAGGGAATTCTCCTGTGCTGGAATAATTTGTCAATGCCTGTATATAATAATTCAATCCTGCTTCCCTCAGTGGGCTGCATAGATTGCTAGGTGTACAAATAACATTTTGCTGTATGCTGTGTTTTAACCCAATAGATTACCTGATGATGTATATAACATGTGATAGCTCTTTTATTTATTTATACAATTGCATTTCCTGTGGTGATATTTGGTGTTTGTTCCCCCCAGTAGCGGCCGGGCGCTGCTCGGTGCTTCTGAGGAGGGGAGAGGAACGCGCCTCCCTGTCACGCTCATGAGTGGGCAAAGTCTTACAAACTTTACGGAATACTTTTGCACTTTGAATAAATAGTGTTCCCAAATAAAATGCATGCAATTTTTTTAATTTCCTGTTGTGACACTCATGCACTCACAGAAGAAGCAAAAAGTTGTAGCATCTGAACTGCTGCTACTGCTTAAAAGCAACTTCTCTGCTGGAGTAATGGGATGGGAAATGTGAGGCTCTGGGTTAGATTTAAAAAGGAAGATAAATACTTTTTTCTTTTATGCTTTTTTAATCTTCCTTATCTTTCTTTCTTTTCTTCCTTCTCTTGTTTTTCTTTTTCCTTCTTTCTTCTTTTTGCTTTTGTCTTTTGTCCTTTCTCTTCTCTTTTTTCTTCCTTCTTTTCTCTTTTCCTTTCCTTTTTTCTTTTTCTTCTTTTTTCTTTCTTTTTTTTCTATTTTCTCCTTTTTCAGTCCCTTTTCTTTTTCTGTCCCTTTTATTCGCTTCTTTTTTACTATTCCTTTTTGGGTGTTTTTTCTTTTTCTTTTCACTTATTCTTCTTTCTTTTTTTCTCTTTTCTCTTTTCCCCTATATTTGACTTCTTTCTTAATTTACTTGACTCTCCTTTTTTTTCCTCTTTTTTTCTTTTTTTTCTCTTTTTTTTTCTCTTTTCTCTTTTTCCTTTTTTTCTCTCTTTTTTCTCCCTTTTTTTTTTCTTTTTTTTCCCTCTTTCTTTTTTTTCCCTTTCATCCTTTTTTACCTTAGGAAAGTTAGGCACCTACTTCAACAGGGTTAGGCAAGCTTTGCATAAGACATTTGAATGAATCAGGCTTTAGAGTTCAGGCAGGAAAACTTATTTTCTTACTCATTTAAAGTCAATTCTGCACACCAATGGAACCAAAATCAAATTTTTGAAATCTTGAACATCTTTTGAAATTACTGTATTTGCAGCCCTATTTTTGTTTCTCTTTCTCGTTTGATACTTGGTTACCTTAGTTTTTCTTTCTGCTTGTATAATATTTTATCTGTTAATAAGCCCTTTTTTGTAAGATTTTGAGCAATTTATTGCCTTATCAGGTTTATTTCAAATGTGTTGCACTACTTAAAAAATACATGTTTTTGAAGGTGTTAGGGGCACACTATTCCTTACTTTCTCACTTTAAAAACCACTTTTCCAGATCTTCTCGCGCAAGGTTTGAACCCCTTTAATTACACTCCGGAATGTAGGTGCTGTCAGCCTGTGAGCAGGAGCTTGTGAGCAGGACTGTGAGCAGGACCAGGGCCACCTCCGTGGCCGCTCATGGAGAGGGGAAGGGCTGGGGAAAACGCCTCCTGCCACAGGGGCTTCTGCTACTGGGAAAGCCAGATCAGTCTGAAATGGAAAAATTAAGGCTCAGTTGTTAAAAAAGAAGGTAGTAGTGTTTTAAAAATGCATCCAAACAGCCTTCTGAACTGTGCTGATCTCGTTTTAAAGTTATGTGTATAAAACAAATGCCATAGATGCAAACTGTTGTCTAGACTGATAAACACTTCATGACCAAACATGATTTAAATGTGTTGGAGGGGCTGTAATGTTGTTAAATACGGTTACTGTAATATTTATTTCTTTCTACAGAGAGACTGGTCTAAAAGGTCTTTAAATTACTGGAAAATGCAGGACACAAAAGTGTCCATATGCGTATGTATAAAAACCCATGAAAAAAAATCAGAGGAACTGAAAAATGTCGAGAAATGAGATTAAAACATTTTTCAATATATTTTCAAAAATGAATTGATATTAAAGAAGGTTTTTAAAAGTATTCAAATAGTAAAGTAAAACCTAAAGGTTAAAAAGCCCCTGAAACCTTGACATCAAAGTGCCTCAGTATCAACAGTGCTCTGGGAATAGCTAGGAAGCTTCAGGATGTCATTAAACATCATTCAGTGCTAAAATAACTTTCCTCAGTGGGAGCTGCACCAGCTTCAAAGTCTATGAGAACAAAATGCAGATTGTTGCCCAGAAGAGAGGAAAAGAATTGCACTTGATTTATTTTAACTCGAAGGAAAAAAAAAAAATTATTAACAAAAGTCAAACTGTTGAGAGCTAAGTGCATGGGGCGCAGGGGTGGGAGACAGCTGCGTGCTGAGCAGGAGGCTGTTGTGCCCCATCCAGGTTAGCGTTACTGGTGGGTGTCCCCTGGCCTTGACGTGGCCGATTGCGTGGTCCAGAGCTGGGGCAGGGGCCCCGAGAGCAGCGGTGAGAGGAGAGTCCTGCGGGCCTTGCTCCAGCCTGGGCGGGAGGCCGGGAGCAGCGGCCCTTGCCAGAGCATCGGAGACGGCGCCTGCTCCCGGCCCCGCGTCTGCAGGAGCTGCGGATGGAGCCAGGGCTGCGCGTCGCGGCCTCACGTGGCGGCGCCTCACTCGCGGCAGCCCTGCCCCGCGCGGCCGGGCTCCAACCACGGCAAACGCACGGGCCCTTGGGTGCCAGCGCCCGCAGAGCCGAGCGCTCGGAAGACATCTGTGCGTGGGCCTTTGTGGGGAAAGCTTGGGTTCCCTTCACGTCACACTTTTCCGAGTGTTGGCTTTGTGAGCAACTTCCAAGCGCACTGTCATGCTTCAAGTCTTGGTGGTGACAGCGTTTTGCATCACCCACTGTCATTCCCTGCGGTGTTTCCTGGATAAGTTATGGCCTCCACAGCTATTCTTTCCTTTTCACTTCAGCCTGTTCTTCATCAAAGCTGCTTTTTGAGTCCTGCACTGATTGGTGTCTCAACTATCAGGCCCTACTCCAGGTTTCACCTCATTTAGCCTCCAGAGCAGGGATTTCAGATGGTGATAGCCCTGGTGTGTGGGCTTTTAATCTCAATTACCAGCCTGAATCTGATTTCCTAGAGCCCTGTGTGCTTGTCACTTGCATCGCTTGCCATTGCTGGGCGCACGCGGTGTCCTGCTCCCTCTCGGCGTCTGCTTTGGCAGTAAGTGAGGTCTTTTAAATTCCACTTCCAGTACATTAGTGGACAATATCTCAATGGAAATTTATTTTGTCAGCTTGGGTTTTAGACAGCTTGTTCTGCATTTTGGCTTCCACCAGCATGCCACATGACATTAAAAAGCAGCTGAAGTGAGTGGACATCTGCTGTCACAAAGTGACCGTTAAATTTACAAGCAGACATAAACTGGACTGAATTAAAGAGACAACAAACCTCAGTCCTATAGGTGTGGAGTGTAACTAGCAACGCTGTAGCTAGTGCTGTTTGGGGGGCTAAGTTTCTCTTTCTTTTCAGACTCTCTACCCACTAATTCATCTGATTTAGATATGTAATTCAGCATTAATTTCTCAGGTTAACACTGAATCTTCTGAATACATATGGGATTTTGGAACATTTTGAAAAATGGCCTGTGAACGAACATCCGATAAACCGGCAAATCCCCTCAAAAAGAAAGCCTTCCATTAGTTTGCATTCTGTCAATAAATCCATTAGTACGTAGTGATACTCTGCTCTTTTCCAAGAAAGACTTTTTGAACACTCTTGAACGCTTTTTGGAGTCTCACTCCAGGTCTTGTAGGAGGGATGCGAATGGCTGGAGACCTGTCCTACAAATCCTGGCCTACTGCTTGTGCCCTGGAGGCAATCAAGAAATGTCCCCAGTGGTGGCCCCACCAGCTCACGTTGCTGATGACCCTGCTGCTGCTGAAATAGAAGCACTCGCTGATTTAGGAGCCCCAGGCACCCGCCTACATCTTCGGTAATTACACTGGCCGTGTTATTGCCCCGTGCCTGGAAGCCATGGTTAGAGCTAAGCTGTCACTGGGATGCTATAAATATTTTTCTATCCTGGTCCTGTAGGTTAGAGGTTAAGTAGGTTCAAGCTAATCTTGATTTGTGACCCAGCTTCACACTTATTGGCAGTGAGGTTAAGCCCATTTTCCGATGGTGTGATGCCTTCGGCAAGCTGTAATAAAGCCCATGCACACTAGATGGCCGCAGGAGAACATTCTGTCACCAGAAATTATAAATGAAAATTAGTATTTCTAAGGAGGAAAAAAGCAAAAAGGGTATTTCCAAGTCCTCCTAATGAAACTAGAGGTTTAAACTGAGTTTTTCAAGTGGCTAAAGGGCATTAGGCACACATTTTACAGCAGAATCCAGAGAACTGAAAAGAATGACATACCCCTCCCTATTTGGTATTTAAACCATAGATATGAACATATTTCATTTCCTAGAGAAGTCCAAACACAGAACTGGATACAACTGTGCCGGTTTCGTTTTTCTTGTTGTGTTTTTTTGTACCACTGTGTGAGACTGGTGATAGCTATCAGGGATTTGTTTTAGGAAAATGTCTTCTCAACTGTGTAGACTAAGATTCAGGAGTAGATTTCTTGCTCACCATGCTGTGGTCGTGTTTTGGGGACTGACAATGAAATAGGGCATGGTGAAAAGTCAAATTACAGCAATGAATTCTGGCCCTTAGTGTGTTTTGCTGCTTTTATGAATGCCATGAAAACATTGAAGCTTTAAAAAAAATAGCATGTAATAGTGCTAACTACTTGTGTATGCTTGGGAACAGAAGCGCATTTGGCTCCAGAGGCCTGGTGAGATTTCCTTTCAGTATTACCATCCAAATGAATACTGTCATCAAAACCTCCATGGCTAGAGAACAAATGCAAAGAGTGGTCCCAGAGGTGATTTTTAGCACTCTGGCACAAGCTATGAACCATATTACATGTCTTCTTTAGGGTCTGGTCCCTGGCAGGATTTATTTCTGTGTCAAGGAAGATTACAGCTAATAGGATTTGTTCCTTGGAGGCTGTGGGCATGTTTGGTGCAAACCCTGCACAGTGCTTTCTTAAAGGAGAATATGGACCCTTTTCTTCACATCCTTCTTCTTCTGTCCTTTCTCAAGATAAACTCATCGCTATCGTCTTGCGTCACAGGATGCTCTTGTTCTGCAGACAGTTTTGGAAGGTAAGAAAGCTAGATACCTAAACCTAGCATCAATGAAGCCCCTCGGAAATTCCCCATATAGCTGCACTGCTGTTATGAGAACTAAAGCCAAGCAGATGGCTGCATAGTATGCTGCCTCTAATACCTGCGTATTATAAGCTTGAGCGTATACTAAGATTTCTCAGATATGGAGTTGCATATGTACCAATTCTTATGCAATAATTGCATTCTTTGTAGGAAAATGGGTGTAAAATCAAGCCAACGGTTGTACTGGTTATGAATGCCCTATATGTAGCCGGTTGAACTGTACAGAGCACTGGTTTGTTAGTCACAAACACAGTGTGTGACCTGGTGAATTTTCTTGTTTCCTCTTCAGGAGTTTACTTTGCATGTCTGCGCTGCTGACAAAGATCCCTGAAAATATCCCTCAAGACATCAGAAAAATTAGGATAGAAAACTCTCACCTAACAGAATTGCCTCGCGGTTCATTTTCAAATGTCAGTGCCTTGGAGTACCTTTGGCTCAATTTTAACAACATCACGGTTATGCACCTGAAGAGCCTAGAAGATCTGCAGGCCTTGAAGGAGCTGCGGTTGCAAGGGAACAAATTAAGCTCAGTGCCATGGACAGCATTTCAAGACACCCCGGCTCTGAAAATCCTGGATCTAAAGCACAACCGGCTGGATGTCCTTCCTGAACATGCGCTCAGGTATCTGCCCAACCTGACCTATTTAGATCTATCATCAAATCAGCTTACTGTTATTTCCAGGGATGTCTTCTCCAGCTGGCCGGTCTACCAGAGGAGCCAGCGGGCAGAAGGGAGCCTGGACCATACTGCCAATGCTGTCCTGGCCCTTCACGGCAACCCGTGGATTTGTGACTGTCGCCTGAGGGGATTTGTCCAGTTTATCAAATCCGTTGGTCCACCTATTATTCTGATGAATTCTTACTTAACTTGTTCAAGTCCAAAATTCAGGGAGGGCAAGTTTTTCCATGAAGTGGAACTCAACAGCTGCATGAAGCCACTCACCTCAGCCCTTGACACCAACCTGACAGTCCCAGTGGGTCTGAACGTCACCTTGACCTGCTACGTGCAAGCCAGCCCTTCCCCAGCCGTCTGGTGGACCTATGCACACAAACTTCTAAGGGCATTTAATGGTAAGCACAGACATTTTTTTCATTTAGGCTTTGCTGTTCAGAATATGCGGCCTTCAGGCCAGCTGGTCAGCTTGTGTGTTGAATGGCAGGTTTGAGTGTGACAACATCAAACAACGGTTACCTCACTGCCCTCTGGGCAACTCCCTGACTGGAGCTCCTCGAGGAGCTCAGGCAAAGGAGAAAAAGAGCAGGGCCTCATTTTCATACAGCTGCGAGGAGATTTATTTTATTCATAGATCTTCCGGGATGCTACTTGATGTGAGAACTATCAGAACACCTCAATCATATATGTGTGTGTCTGTGTGCTATAATAAACATATAGTTATATTTCTGTGTGGGGGTACATTGCTATGTGTATCCGGCTGTAGTTATGTCTTGCATAAATACAAATGATTATGTGCAAATACATACATGCATATATGTGTATAAACATATATACATGCATATATTTATACAATACATTCACATATTCACACACATACACAAAATTAAACACAGAAATACACATGAAAACATATACACACACTCATATGCACCACATGCACAGACATATACACACACTCCTATTCGTAGTTATGTCTTGCATAAATACAAATGATTATGTGCAAATACATACATGCATATATGTGTATAAACATATATACATGCATATATTTATACAATACATTCACATACATATTCACACACATACACAAAATTAAACACAGAAATACACACATACAATTACACATGAAAACATATACACACCCACATACACACTCATATGCACCACAAACATGCACAGACATACACACACACTCCTATTCACATGTACACACACATAAAACACACATTCACCCCCACATTTACACACAAAAACACAAACACATGCATTCACAACCACAAGGATACATACGTATAGCCCAAATACACACTCATACACACACATACATGCCTTTGCACACTTCACACATACACATATATAACATACACACATTAATGCATGGAAATACAAATATTCACAAAAATCATGTACACACACCCACAAACATACGCACCTACATATACTCAAATTACACACAAATGCACATACACAGGCATATACACACTCTTATGCACACATAATGCACAGACATATATTCACACACAGACACATGTCCACACACCCACAAACATACGCACATCCATATGCACATGTCTACACACAAAAACCCAAACACATGCATATATACACATCCATCCAGAAAAATACACACAAATATATACACAAATGCACACACATATACACCTACAGGCACACTCCTACTCACACATATATTACACATAAAGACATACGCACACGTCTACACACATGCACATATACATTTGAACACATATACATTTGAACACCCTTATACACACCACAAACATGCATTATATATACTATTATATACACACATATTCACATATGCAAACACATCTATACAAGAAAACCGACATATGCACACATACATTTACACGCACACCCCAAAATATACACATATACACCCAAAGGCACATTTATACACACACACGCACAGAGACATAAACACACACGTGCTCCTACACACGCATGCACACACATATAGTACACACACCTAAAACCACAGACACACACACGCGCACAAAATACACACATAACCTACACACACATAAATGCACAGACATAAGCAAATACACACATACCTTCACACACACAAACATGCCCACACACCTCAAAAATATATGCACACACACGCCTATGCACACACATGTAATATACATATCCATACACATGCACATATACCCCCCCACATTTACAAGTAAAAACACCCATGCACACATACATACAAATATGCACACAAATACATGCCCACATGCACACTCATATTCCATGCACAATCACATACACACACATAAATACATGCATACATATACACATGCACGTTAATACACACACGTACATATGCACACACACACACACTCCTACACATACATATAATACACACTTAAAAATCCATGCACGCACACATTCACATACACACACGAAATCACACTCATAAACACACACACTCCTATTCACACATATACACATATATATGTATGCATATATAATGCATACATATAAAAACACAGACACACATACATCTGTACACATGTAGATGTGCACACACATCAACATATAAAAACATGCACACACACACCCAAAAATATATGCATACTCAAAATGCACACAAACACACAGAGGCACGGGCACACACATACACACTCCTACGCACACATACACATATATAACATACACACATTAATGCATGGAAATACAAATATTCACAAAAATCATGTACACACACCCACAAACATACACACCTACATATACTCAAATTACACACAAATGCACATACACAGGCATATACACACTCTTATGCACACATAATGCACAGACATATATTCACACACAGACACATGTCCACACACCCACAAACATACGCACATCCATATGCACATGTCTACACACAAAAACCCAAACACATGCATATATACACATCCATCCAGAAAAATACACACAAATATATACACAAATGCACACACATATACACCTACAGGCACACAAATGCACCCACACAGACATGCACACACACACAAACTCTCCTACTCACACATGATGCACATACATGGAGACATAGACATATACACACACATATTCACATATACACTGATATCTGCACACACACATTCACACAGATATATACACACCTATATGCACACAAAACCACACACATATTCATGCATCTATACACCCACATCTATACAAAAAACAGACATATGCACACATACATTTAGATGCACACCCACATACACACATGAACCACCACATACACACAACCAAGAACACGCACACACACACACACACACACACACACACACACACACACTGCTATGCACACATACACACACAATACACGCACCTAAAAAAATACACATGAACATGCACACACAAAAACACAAGCAAATGCACATGTACATGCCTACCCACAAACATACACGCACATTTACCACACACAAAAAA